AGAGAGAGAGAGAGAGAGAGAGAGAGAGAGAGAGAGAGAGAGAGAGAGGAGAGAGAGAGGAAAAGGAGAGAGAGAGAGTAGAGAGAGAGGAAAAGATGAGAGAGAGAGAGAATAGAGAGAGGAAGAGACGAGACAGAGAGTAGAGAGAGGAAGAGATGAGACAGCGAGTAGAGAGAGAGAGGGGGGAAGAGATGAGACACAGAGCAGAGAGAGAGGGAGGGAAAAAGATGAGACACAGAGCAGAGAGAGAAAGAGAAAGAGACACAGAGAGTAGAGAGAGATAGAGATGAGACAGAAAGTAGAGAGAGAGAGAGGGAAAGAGATGTGACACAGAGTAGAGAGAGGAAGAGATGAGACACAGAGTAGAAAGATAAGACAGATGAGACAGAAGGTAGACAAGGGGAGAGATGTCAAACGTCGCGACAAACGCCGAAGGCGGCGGCGGCAGTCCGCACATCCTACCTCTTTTGGTAAGAGACTGATGAAATCTCGCTGGAACTGCGGCTCGATGACCGTCATGATGTGCCTGACCTGCGTCGGTTCGCACAGCTCGATCAGCTGGTCCAGCGCGAGCAGACGCTCTGCATTGCTCCACGTCTGCAAAGCACCGACCGCTGATGATGCAACTTAAACACACACATGCACGCACGCACACACGGCGAGCGCAAGCAAGAGAATACCTATGCTGCTGCCGTGCGTTATTACTTTTCGTTATCGGTAGGGGTTAGGACAGCGAACGAGTGAACGAGAATACGTACGCCGGCGTGCGTTGCTAGTTTTCATTCTTAGTAGGGGTTGGGACAGCAAACGCACTGAACAGTAATGTGTATGTGTGCGCGCGTTATTACATTTCGTTCTTAGTATGGGGATATTTGAGTCAGTCTTCTGCTTCCTGTGGCCGACATCTTCGTGAAAGTTCCTGATGTTAAAATAATTCTGGGGCCTAGAAACAGTGTGGCTGCACTTACAGGTCTTCTTCTTCTTCTTCTTCTCGGGGTCACTACGCTACACTCGACCTAGCCACTGCAGCACTTACAAGTGAACAGTATACACATGCGGAGGACATACAGGCAGAGGTAGACGCTGTCGCGTCTCTCTAATCACGCCGCCAGGACGGCGGCGCGGACGACTCTAGAACTGCCCCCGGCAACAATAACACGGAGCCGAGGTGATCTCAGAGATACTCTGTTCGATGCATGACTCATCCCAATTATAGGATTTAAAAATGCAGCGCGCACAGCAAAAGTCGGTGACGCGCCGTATTCATTCGCGTCCCAAAGATAACTATCGGCACGTTGACCGAACGCTTTGCTACAAAATTCCACCACCAGGTGTCGCCGCCGCCTACTACGCACCTGAAACACCTTCAGCCAATCGGCCATTTCCACTGGCGGGTTCTGCCGCGATGGTATGCGCCGCCGCGGCGTGAGGTGCGCACTGGTGGCGCCGGTGGGCAAGCCAAAAGTTTGATGGTGGTCCATCGCAGGTTCCTGGTGCAACACGGCGGGAGACAAGCCGAGCCTACGACACACACACACACAGAGAGAGAAACATCACACGCGTTGCATAAACACACACACACACACAACACACACACGCACACGCACACGCACACGCACACGCACACGCACACACACACACGGGATACTGACACTCAGTACACGTTGCTTCCTCGCATTGCATCGTCATATATTCTGTCATCCTCTGACGAGCATATTGCGAAATACCCATGTGAAAAACGAAATGCATCCCACCCTGACCTGCTTTTCAGTTCCGCTAAGCGTATGTAAAACGAGACGAGGCTCAAAGCATCAGTTTTCATCGAAATTTTCTAGTCGGCAGAACAAAACATGATTACCAAAATTAAAATCTAATCAGAAGAAGTGAGCCAAAAACGCCGTAGGCGTCGGATACGTACTGCGAGAGCGCGCTGCACGAGCGTCTCCTCTCCCGGCCACCAGGTGTCAGCGCCGACAGCGCCTGAGCGTCCTCTATGGACAGGTCGAGCATCTTGCGTTTCGTCTTCGCCGGCGACACGTCGTGCGCGCTGATCGCAACGCTCGACTTGCGCTTCATCTGCAACAACAACGACACACGACGACGCTTAAAAACCAAAAAATAAAATAAATAAATAAAGGAATAAAAATTAATATAAATATAAATACGCGACAAAACTCGCACGATCGCGGTCGTACACCAACAGCAGGCAGAAATCGCGCGCGCACACAGACAGACTGTAGAGAAATAACAGCGACGTGACATATAAATGACGAGCAGAAGAACCTGTAAACTAAAGACACTGCAGTCTGCGTTAGTCTAGACTCTAGAGGACACCTCTATAGAACAGACATGTGTACAGACATAGACATAGACACAGCTTTGGCGTATCCCTTGAGTGACACTTAGGTGCAGGTTTGACAGCATATCTCAGAAAAGTATCTCACACAGTCAACTCTCAGACCTCTCAGTCAAATTCATATTCAATCAGACCTTACTATATTGATTATCACGCGAGTTACACGGATGATCAGAAATTATTACAAATGCCACCACGACTGATGACGATGAAAAAGAGGAGGAAGAGGAGGAAGAGGAGGAGGAGGAAGAGGAAGAGGAGGAGGAGGAGGAGGAGGAGGAGGTGGTGGAAGAGGAGGAGGAGGAGGAGGAGGAGGAGGAGGAGGAGGAGGACGGA